CTAGATTTTTATTTGATTGTTTTAAGGGTGTTATTAATTCCAATATAGGATGTATTGTTTTGTTTGTGTGGGCGCCATTCTTTTGCTTGTCCTGCCATGAATCGACGCTTTAATCGTCTTGACCCAAGGGATGTTATCCCAAGCAGGCATTCTATTTTTATAAGGGGATTACCGGGCAACACTGACACAGCTAAACTAAAGTAGCTTCCTATAATAAATTCTTACCAATTCCCAGAGAAGTATTTTCTAAGGATATTGGCGCCCCTTGCTCAGTCGACTTTTTCTCCGCTTCTGAAAACGGGACTCGACTATCAATTGCTATTCGTTTTGAGTCTCATGAATCAGCGAAAGAGATGCTCATGAAGTAAGCAGAATATTTTAATAATTTTAAGGTATAACGGCAAGAAGTTGCTTGGCTTTCCCGTCCAAATAACCTGGTTCAAAGATCTTAAAAAGGGTAGAACAAGGAGTATGCACATTCATTTTTATTCATTTAATAGGTCCTGAGCCTGGTGGATATAGAAGACGTGATGGCCCCGTTCGTGGTCGTGGGACGTTTAGAGGTAGCATAAGGGGACAGCTCCGCGCCATGTATGATAGGAGGCAGAGGGGTTTTGATGAACGAATCGATAGAAGACGAGATCGCTCGTCTGCTTCTTCAGGAGGCAATCGTAGCCTACGCCAGCGTGGCGAGCGGCGTCGTTCAGGTGAAGATTCTGTCTCTGGATCAGAATCTCGCAGTTGTTCTCAACCTAGAACTAGGTAAAGATAGTCTTTTTAATCGGCTTATTTTTTTTAACTCCTTTAGCAACACTGATGCGATTCCTTTCAGGCACGTTTCTCGTAGAGACTTTAAAGAAGAGCGTCGTTCAGGTGACGAGACCATACCTGCTAGTTATAACTCGATTGATCATCTTCGAGAACGGCAAAGAAGCGTTGATCCCGAAAGATCAAGTGCAGAACGACAAAGCTTACAAGCAAAACGACGCGTCAGGCGAGGCTCAGCAAGACACGTCTCAGCTAGTTCACATTCCGAAGCAACCTCAGGTTCCCCGACTTCTTCCTCATCCGGCTCGTCTTCTCATTCATCCTCGTCAATTGGCCAGTTTGATAAAAGAAAGGGACGAGTCTATCAAAGAGAATGGTCAAAAGAGGCCCCTAATTCTGCTTTACAACTTGGCCGTGATGCGCAGGATGATTCGGCTATTAAGTCTTCGTTTAGCGGCGGCAAGATTCTTCTCAATGGACCTGGTAGTCCTGTTTCTCAGCCCAGACGATCTTCTGTTTCTCGTGGTAATTTTACTTTTATTCTCCGCATGAGCATACAATGTCTTAATCTGACCAATTGTTTGCGTCGCCTAAACTGGGGACTCAGTGTTTTTGTTCATTTTTACTTTATCTAGATGATGTTCATGACGCCAATGCCTTCGAAGGAGAGAATACGAATGCCGAAGTTTCAAGCAAACCAGCCCCTTCTATGGCCTCAAATTTTTTTAATTCCTTCATAGCCGAACCTGATCTGGATTCTGCTAATGAGACAGCTGGCCTCGGCAGCGGAAATACCAATCAGCCAATGTCGGACGATGCAGAGCTTGGTTCATCCTTAGTTAGCGGCCTCATTCATCTCAATAAACGTGCTCCGCGCATTCCTAATCAAAAACTCAGTGATTTATCCGCTCAGTCTTCTAGAGGTGAATCGATTAGTAGGCGATCCCTCAGGTTGGATGAACGTCTGCCGACTAAGCGGCAGCGCGTTAACTCTCCACAGATGCCCTGCACTGATCGCGTTCAAAGATCTGGCTCAAGTGGTTCACTTAGTTCTAGCCCCATTGTTGAACGCCGAAGGGGCAGAAGAAAGCAGCGTAGGG